ATGGAGTCTTGAGTCCTGAAGGGCAATTCCCAGTACCCCCAGACCAGGATGTGGTGCTGACACCAGTGATGAGAAGGATAAGAGACTGGTGGTGATACACTTCTGGTTCAGAAGTAGGAAATGTTTTTGTGGAGAGTTGAGCCTTGTGTTAGAAAGGGCATAAGAGTGCTGAGAGGGATCTTTAGGACCTCAGAAACAGTCTGGAAGGTGGGTGGGCAGTGAGGTGAGAAGGTGTGCTGATGATCCTGAGTTTTTGCTGTAATGAGTATGAGGGCCAACTGTGATGAATCCCGGAAATAACCAGGCAATGAAATGGCAAATGCAGTTCTTTGTAGGTAAACTTGGAGTAATGTATGTGAGAGGATAGAGAAGGCTTTGTCTTCATGTCATATGCAGAATAATAGGCTCAGAGCTGACAAGTGCCACTCACCAATTAGCTGTTCCAGTTACAATAGACAGTTCTGTGAAAGCATCAACTTGCGCTTAGTGGCTACTGAGGAAAGCAAATTGGGTGTTAGGGATTTCTACGAAAAGAAAAGCAGCCCAAACAGAGTGCATATGCCCATGGCCCACTCACACCTTGCAGGCACTGTGCAGCTCTGGTCCACCCCACTATGTCAGAAAGGATGTGGTAGAACTGGAAAATAGTCCAGGAAAGGGCCAAAAGGGTGATCAGAGGTGAGGGGGTTTCTATAAAAACAATGAGTTTGCTGGGACCTGGAAAAGAGGTGATTAGAGAGATGATAGAAGTCCACGTTCTTGCTATGCCTCCAGAAGTTTGGATGGGACATGATTATTTGGTGGCCCTAGTTATTGTACTGGAAGAGAAACAAAGCTGGTTCCTGCTAGCTTCAAAACAAAACAGTGGGGTTCTTCACACAGACAGTAGTAGACCTGTGGAACTCCTTCCCAGATGTTGTGGATACTTAAAGCTTACAGGAGTTCAAGGGAAGACTGGGCAACTACATGGAAGAGAGATCTACTGAGGGTTACTAAATAATTAGAAACCACATTCAGATCAGGAAGTTCCCTGAGCTGAAAGTAGGTGGAAGCGGGGCTAATGCCAATGAAGGTGTCGGACATGCTTGCCTTGGTCTTTCTCCTCTGTAGCTGTCTACTTCTGGCCACTGCTTAAGACAGGCTTCTGAACTAGGAGGACCTTTGGTCTGAGTTGAGCTTCCCAAAACTCACCTCCACCTATTCTTTAGGCCTGCATTCTTACTCTCCTTCAGCAGGCTCTGTGACTTGTTACCTCTTCCTTGGGAAAGCATCCAGAAAAGAGAGATGTGTGAGCATTTCCTGTGGTAAAAATAGGGATGCGGTTTTTCCTCTGGTAAAAATAGGGATGTGGCCAAAGCACTGCAGCCGGCAGGCTCTGTTTTCATTACACCGCTCTGTGTCTGTGCTGTCCTGGTCCAGCGCACTGCTGCTGAAAGGCTGTGGCGGCTCTGTGGTGGGACCCAGGGGGTTGGATGGTGTTCAACGACCAACTGTTCTCTGCTCCCTCTAGCCGAGTTCTCAACATACCTCAACTTCTGCCGCTCACTGAGGTTTGATGACAAACCTGACTACTCGTACCTGCGGCAGCTCTTCCGCAACCTCTTCCACCGCCAAGGCTTCTCCTACGACTATGTCTTCGACTGGAACATGCTTAAATTTGTGAGTGTGTGTGGGGAAAGGTCTGGAGGGGCAGGGGTTGATTAATATCATGGAGATGGGGGAGGAAAGTTGGAAACTGCCTGTCATTTGTACTTAGCCCTGGTCAGCAATTTGAGAAAGGGGACCAGGTAGTGAAAAGAGGCAATTGTTTGGTGGTGCTAACCGGGGTGTACAGCTACTGTACTGATGGAGCATGTGTGTCAATAGATCTGTAGGTAGGTAGAGATAATTTTTCAGGAGAGAACTATATTTGGAGGTGGGACACAGAACGTGGATTGTGATAACAGCTGTAGTACCATATGCTTTCTTCCCTGTTTCTTCACGAAGAGAATGAGGCCCTCTGGATGGAGTGGAAGATGATGGGGGGGCAGGTGGGGGGGAGAATGTGTTTTGGGGATGGAGCTCTGCTTTCTTGGTGTGCTGGAGTGCCATGTATTTTCTGTCTGGGGCTGCTGCTGGCTCTCCTGCCTGACAGCCGTGCACAGCATGAGGGTTTTTTTCCTCCTCAGGGAGCAGCCCGGAACCCTGAGGATATGGATCGGGAGCGGCGAGAGCACGAACGAGAAGAAAGGATGGGGCAACTCCGGGGGTCAGCCACACGAGCGCTGCCCCCTGGCCCACCTGCTGGAGCCACTGCCAACCGTCTTCGCAATGTCACCGAGCCCATGGCCTCCACCCCCACCTCCCGAATCCAACAGTCTGGTGAGTGGGGATTGGAGAGCTGGGGGAGGGTGGCACCCCTGTTACTGGCTGGAAACTGAAATGATTTGTCTTGCGTTTCTCTGCCACCGACAGGAAACACGTCCCCCAGAGCAATCTCAAGAGTGGACAGGGAGCGGAAGGTCAGCATGAGGTTACACCGAGGAGCTCCTGCCAACGTCTCCTCATCTGACCTCACAGGGCGGCAAGAAGTGTCACGGATTTCAGCATCACAGGTGAGTCCCTGCTGCGATGTTCGTGGCCTTGGCCTGCATGTCTTGGAAGGGCTTAAGGGCCCCACAGCGGTTTTTACCTGATCTGCTGGAGCTGGCATGTGCCTGAAACTTCTACAGTGTGATGAGGGAGCTGGTACCAGGTTACGCCTTGGCTATTCAGTTACATGTTTTCTGGAGGCCATGCTCAGTACTGTTGTCTTAGCTCTGCTTTGCTCTGAGTAAGCCTTCACCTGGTTTGTCTTCCAGACCGTGGTGGTTTGGAGAATGATAAACTCTTGGGAGGGAGGATATCCTGAGAGAAACACGCAGCCTCTCTGTTTTGGTGTCCTTCGTGCCCTTTTATTCCTCTCCGTCCCTTACCTATTCTTCTTTTTCTCTTGTAGACAAGTGTGCCATTTGATCACCTTGGGAAGTGAGGAGCAATTGCCACTGGACCAGTGTTTGCTTAGGTGAGCCTGTCCTCATGCCTGGGATCTCCCAAGGAGGGAATTGCTGGGATTAGGTTAAGACTTTGATGTTGCTATTGGGGAATTGGTACATTTCCCTTTGCCTTACTTTTGAGATGGTTTTGGCTTTAGAGGGAAGAGTATGGTTGGCTGCCAAAACCTTGGGGGGGGTGGATTATCTTCGGTATTGAAGGTAGCTTCTGTTTCTCCAGGAGGGTGGGGAGGGTGGAGAAGGAGGCTGGGCCAGGGAGCCATTTTGTTAGTTCCTAATGAATGCTTTTCTGGCAGTGTGATAGTGTTGGGGAGGAGAGTGCTGAGCACGTAATCAAGTGTGTGAGACTTTGCACAGCTAGTGAGTGCCTCTTGTAGAGGAAACGGCAGTAGGTGGACAAAGTAACTCCGAGGGGTGGCAGGGAATGGAGAAGAAAGGGCTGATATGATTTGTTACACTGCAGTTGGCATTGGAAATGTTGGGAAGAGACTCTTCTCCTAATGTCCTCTTCCCTTTTTCTCTCTTTTTTTTTTTTTTTTTTTTCCCCCCTTTCTCTTTCTAGTGTCTTCACTGTATTTTTCTTTTAAAAAACAAAAAACCCAAAAAACAAACAAAAAACTAAAAAAGACAAAAAAACAAACAAAAAAAAAAACCCGTCAGAATTTCTTTTTGCC